AACTAGGTTAACAGCACTAGTGAGAATATGTTGAAATTGCCAATTTTAGGACATATTTGCTTCCAAAACTTGTGTTTTTTTAAAGAACACCATTTATACAATTTGTGTTAAGTACACTATGCATAAAATATGCATTAATATGTATCTTTTATTTACAACAATTACTCACCATGAGAGGCAGGTAGGCCAGAAACACACTTATAATGGTAATTTCTATATGCAAGGTCAACTGATTAGATCTTGACTGCTCTTGTCTGCCTGTGCCTGTCCTGATTTTCAAAACTATCACCCTTCCCTTGGACTCTGTCTGTCAGTGTTTCCTGTTCTCACGTTCCATTGGAATTCAATGGATTCCTTCAAACCAGTAATATCTCAGTGTTATTTGCAAAGCTTTAATTCTTGCAGGAGACTTATAGAGCTCTTTTCTGTTTTTCTCATTTTTCAACAAATTTTTCTTAGAATTTGAATTTCGAAAAACAGAAATTTCCTGAGCAATGCTGGGAAGGAACCCTCAGATGGAAATGCTCAACGGGCTACAGGTCCAGTGGGGAAGAACCATCAGCAGGCTCTCTGGAAGGGAAAGCAGGGAGTTTGATGAAAGCTGGGACCAAGGCAGGAGCCAGTCCCAGGACGAGAGGCCTGGGAAAACAGAGAGCAGAAGTCCATCTTCAACTTAGCCTTGGCTAGAAAATGTATTGTAAACAGACGCCACCAGGCTTACTTAGTAGTCAATGAAGCACCTTTAAGGGATGGAAGATCCACAAAGTGCTTGGAAAAGGCAAGTCCTGACCTAGCCGTATGCCTTGCTAGAGAGAGAAGGAAGTTAAAACTGAATCTATTTCTTATCTTGTTGTGACCTATCTGCCTAGATGTTCTTGTTAGTCAAACAGCTTTCTGATATTATTGAGAAATTTGGGTTTTATCATTCCAAGGACAGTAGACTTGTAATACTTAGACAAGTTTAGTCCTTGAAACTACTATTTTGTCTTTGTAGTTAATAAATGCCTTATGGGGAATTACTCTGATACTGTGTATGTATCCTATTTCTCAACACCCACTACTTTTAACATCCATTGGTGTTTCTCGCCTGAAATAACTTCAGTTATGTGGGTTGTCAAATAATTTTCCAAATCCATAATTTTTCCTACAATTTTTAGTTGGCATTCTGCCATAAAGAAGAACTTCCTTTTTTCCTTGTTTATCCATTCATTTATCCATGCATTCATTTGTATGAACTCTTGGATTCTTATTTTATTGTATGGCTTGTAATCTATATATATAAAAGCCTAAGCGACCATTTGACTGGTAGCTATGACACACACTGACCACCAGGGGGCAGATGTTCAATGCACAGGCATGGAAACATAGAACAGGCTGATGAATCTTAGAGGGAAGGGGGAAAGGGGAAGGGTGAGAAGAGATTAATCAAAGATCTCATATGCATACTAGAGATCCAGTGCACAGATTCGTGCACCAGTGGGGTCCCTCAGCTTGGCCTGTGGTAAGAGGCAGCAGGAGAATGGAGGTGGAGGAGACCTACAGTGGGGTGGCCAAGCACGGGGTCCAGGACCCTGCCCCTATCCCCAGCAAGGCCCCCAGCAGTGCCAGCCACTATTAGCTGCTGTGAGAGAAGTATTGGTCTGACTAGGCCACTAGCCTGTCCACTGCAGATAGCATAATAGGGTCACAAGATAGGCCCGTGGTTTCCATCTAGCCAACCCTGTTTTGTGCCTTGCCAAGTCTGCAGAAACTGGCAAGTCTTTGCACGAGAAGGGAATATGCCCAATATTATCATTGCTGGCCCCCCAGAAACTGGCAAAACTACAAGCATCCTGTGTTTGGCACGAGCCCTTCTGGGCCCAGCTCTCAAGGATGCTGTTTTGGAACTCAATGCCTCAAATGACAGGAGCATTGATGTTGTGAGAAACAAATCAAAATGTTTGCCCAACAGAAAGTCACCCTTCCCAAAGGACAACATAAGATCATCATCCTAGATGAAGCAGACAGCATGACTGATGGAGCCCAGCAAGCCTTGAGGAAAACCATGGAAATCTACTCCAAAACAACTCGCTTTGCTCTTGCTTATAATGCTTCAGATAAAATCATAGAGCCCATTCAGTCCAGGGGCGCTGTCCTCCGCTACACAAAGCTGACTGATGGCCAGGTCCTTACCAGGTTAATGAACGTGATTGAGAAGGAGAATGTGCAGTACACTGGTCTTGAAGCCATTATCTTCACTGCCCAGGGAGACATGCGGCAGGTGTTGAACAACTTGCAGTCTACTTTCTCAGGATTTGGCTTCATTAACAGTGAGAATGTGTTCAAGGTGAAGGAGATGATCCAGCACTGTGTGAATGCCAATACTGACGAAGCCTACAAGATTCTCGCTCACCTGTGGCGTCTTGGCTATTCACCAGAAGACATCATTGGCAACATTTTTCGAGTGTGTAAAACCTTCCAAATGGCAGAATACTTGAAACTGGAGTTTATTAAGGAAATTAGATACACTCATATGAAGATAGCCGAAGGTGTGAACTCTCTTCTGCAGATGGAAGGGCTCCTGGCCAGGCTGTGTCAGAAGACAATGGCCCCGGTGGCCAGTTAGAGCAGAGAACTCATTGATTGGGTTACAAGAGTCCCTGAGAGACAGGACTCACAGCCTTCTGCTTTGGAAGAAAATGCTGCCCAGACTGGCAGTGGGACTCGCCTTTTAGTAACATGCCGTGGCCTTCCCAGTGCTTCTACACACATCTCGAGAAGAATCAGCTGCGATAAGGAGAGGGGCAAATCCCAGCTGTACCCCTGGGCTTCTGTGGGGACCTGAGGGGACCAAGCACAGCTGCTTTGTGCCTTTAGTTTTGGACAGAGGGCATGAAAAGAGGAAGCAAACCTGCCACTACAGGGCGGAGAGGAGCATAGGGTAACAGTGAGGTGTGGTTCCTTCCGGATGCTTGTCGGCGTGGCTTCACCACATGGCCATCAGGGGTCAACCAGGGACCCACCAACAGACCCAGAGGCAATGTGGGATGGGGAGAGAAAGGGACCTGTGAGACACCCCAGGGACTATCCCTATCTGAGCAGAGGAAGGGCACTGGCAGGACCACGATTCCAGGGATTCTACTCATGGGGCAAACACAGTTACTTCTCTGTTGGGGTTGTAAGATGCCTTGTGTGTCAACCTGTCATATTTCTGCGTCTATAAGGTTACTTTAACTTATAGTAGAGCTCCAACAGTCCCAAAAATCAGAGAGAGAGAAGAATCAGTGAAAAATGAACTTGGTTACCAAGGGAACAGTCTCCTGACTGGACTAAAGATAGTCACTGAGATGACCTTCACAGTGTTCTGGTCAACGAAGGTGGTCACAGACAGTGAGCAGAAAAGCAGCATTTCATGCAGAACTTTGGACAAGTATATAGGTGGTTTCAGGGGCAAAGAAGCACATGGACACATTCCTTGCCTTAACTTCAGAGCAGCTGCAGGAAGCCGAGATCTGGCACAGTGGGCACCTGAGCTGCTTTCTGTTGTCCTAGCTGTGGGTGCGAGAGAATCACAGATTCCCTCAGCCAACAAGGAGCACCAAAGTTAGACTAAGCAGCACAGCTTATAGAAGCAGTTCAGCAGGAAGAGATATTTAATGTATATCTAGAGTCTAGATTCTAGACAGACATTTTTAAATCTTTTTATTTTGAAACAATTTCAGACTTACAGGAAAGTTGCAAACATAGTACAGAGAATATTTGTATATCCCTTACCTTTCATCCAGATTCACTTTGCCATATTTGTTTTATTATTTTCTGCTCCAACTATTTGTTTGTCGCCCACCTGTCCATTCACTGCTATCTATCTATCTATCTATCTATCTATCTATCTATCTATCCATACATATAAAATCTCATAGATAATTCCCCCCAATCCATCTTCCAGTGAGTATTTCATAAAATCAAGGACATTTTCATATAGCTGGGGTACAATGATCAAAATCAGGAAGATAACATTGATACAGGACTATTAGCTAATCACCAAGTTTTACTTAAATTCCACCAGTTATCCCCTGCTATCCTTTACAACCAAAGGAAAAATAATTTGCCCTCAGTCCCAGGTTCTGCTACAGAATCACACATTACATTTAGTTGTTATGTCCCTCTAGTCCCCTTTATTCCAGGGCAGTTCCTCAATCTTTCTTTGTATTTTGACTTTGAAATTTTTGAAGCATATAGACCATTTATTTTGAAGAATGTCCCTCAATTTGGATTTAATTGATGTTGCCTCAAGATTATAGATTCAAGTTCTGTACTTTGGTCAGGAATACCATAGAAATGATGTATTCTTCTGGGTGAATCATATTGAGAGGCACGTGATATCCATATTTTCAGTCACTAGTGATGTGAACATTGATCACTTAGTTAGGATGGTGTCTGCCCAGTTTCTCCACATTGAAATTACTATTTTTTCTTTGTAGTTAATAAATGCCTTATGGGGAATTACTCTGATGCTATGTATGTATCCTGTTTCTCAACACCCACTACTTTTAACATCCATTGGTGTTTCTCACCTGAAATAACTTTAGTTATGTGGGTTGTCAAATAATTTTCCAAATCCATAATTCTTCCTACAATTTTTAGTTGGCATTCTGCCATAACGAAGAACTTTCTTTTTTCCTTGTTTATCCATTCATTCATCCATTCATTCATTTGTATGAACTCATGGATTCTTATTTTATTATATGGTTTGTAATCACTATATATAAAAGCCTAAGTGACCGTTTGCCAGGTAGCTATGACATGCACTGACCACCAGGGGGCAGATGCTTAATGCACAGTCATGGAAACATGGAACAGACTGATGAATCTTAGAGGGAAGGGGGAAAGGGGAAGGGTGGGAAGAGATTAACCAAAGATCTCATATGCATACTAGAGATCCAGTGCACAGATTCGTGCACCAGTGGGGTCCCTCAGCCTGGCCTGTGGGAATTGGGCTAAATCCATGCACTAGGCCTCTGACATCACCTGAGGGGTACCGAATTGCGAGAGGGCGCAAGCCAGGCCAAGGGACCCCAACGGTGCACGAATCCATGCACCAGGCCTCTAGTATATTGAATAAAAATAATTTATTTTAATTCTTTTAATTATCGAAGATCTGGCCAGTGGGAACCCCTTGAGCCTAGCTGCTGTAAATTGTGACATGTCCCCATCAAAACATTCCAGCCCCCCAAGCCTAAAATCAGTGATATCTCCAAGGAGCCCTAATTCCTCTTACTGGAAAATATTTCAGAATCGAGAATTGGAGGCTGAATGCTGAATATGGTTAGAGTGAGTGTGTATTCACTTAAACTAGAGGAATATAGTTAGGTTCACTTGTGTTTGTTTGCATCCCATTGTGTTCCCCTCTTTCCCTACTGGTTTTATGTATTTATGTTTGAGCATACAAAATATAACATGGTTTTAAAAGCCTGCTCTATAAAAAAAATGTATATTTTGAGAAGTATCACTCCTCCCACAGCCATTCTACCCTATCCCCCTCCCCAGTTCCTTCCACACTATTTCCAACCACCACCCATCAGTGAGCAATGTCATTTCTGATTTATCTTTATGTTTCATTTTGCATAAATAAACTGGTACATGTATATTTTTCCTTATTTCTTACCTAAAAGATACATAGTATAGATGCCATTTTCCTTTTTCACACTGGAAATTGCTCCATATTAGTTTGAAGAAATGTGCCTACTTTTTATAGCTGCATAGTATTCCACTGTGGTGATGTATTCAACCACTCTCTGATGTTGGAGCATACACTTTGTTTCTAACACTTATCAACACTCAAATAATTACTTTGTACATAACTATTTTCTTCTTTTTGGAGGTGTAAATTCCTTGAAGTAGAATTATTGGCACAAATTTAAAATGTACATATAATCTTTTTAGATATTGCCAAATATCTCTCCAAAAGGATTGAACCAGCTTGTACCCCTATATCACCCCTACATCACAATGTGAGGCTCCCTGTTTCTCATAATCTTGCCAACAGAATGTGCTGTCATACTTTTTAATTTTCACCAATTTAAGTGAAAAATTATCTCAGTACAGTTTTAATTTGCATTTCTCTAACTATGAGTGATGTTAAACATCTTTTCATATGTTTAAGATACTGTGTCTTTTGTATATTTTTCTATTGGATACATGCTTTTTGAAAAACTTTGCTAGGAATTGCATTTTTTTTTCAATTTGCTAGGGAGAAGCTAGAAGTTATACATTTGCTTAACATTTTTCCTGTTCTGTAATTTTTCATGATAAAATCTTATCTGTGGCATTGTTTTCATTTTTGACACCGTGTTCACTGTGAAAATGTTGTCAAGCTGTACAATTATGACTTGTACACTTCTAAAAGCTTATTTTTTAAAATTCTAGCTGATTTAATTCTGCACTCAATTAACAGTGTCTTGCTTACCCATTGTCTAAAGGGAAATTAATGATTCCCACATAGATCTGATGTGAGACAAGGGGGCAAAGTGACCCCTGAAGAAGGGACTCTGTAAGTTCATACTTGAAAGCTGAGCCCACAACACACACACACACACACACACACACACACACACACACACACACACGGTCATTCTACCTTCCCTCCCCCATGGAGCCTGCTCCCATCTTCTAACCTAGCCCAAACTGGCTGCCCTGGACATGTCTTCCCACCTCACCAGCTGGGGGAAAGGACTCACCCAGTGATGTCAGTGAGGAGTCCTGGTTTCAAGTTTGTCCTACAGTCCTTCCTTTGTGTCCCAGTAAGTGAGGCCTCTCCGTCTCAAACCTCATTTTCTCTAATTTTCAGGATTGTGGAAGGAAATGGGTAATCAAATCTATTAAATAGTGTGAGCTACTTGGAGAAAGATCCAGATACTTGGATGTCTCCACCATTCTCTCTGCACTGTGCAGAGCTGATGAGCTGCGCTCAGCCTCTGGAACCTAGTTGGTACTGGAGAGACTGGGTAATCAAATAAAACTGCTGTGAGTGGATAAACGCAGGAATTTCTAAGATTCCTTGTCTATTTGTTGTATCTTTCAGGACAGACCAGAACAGAGAGTAGAGCAGCGACATGGCTTCAGAGAGTGGGCGGCCCCTGAGTAGGTGTCTCGTTGACACCGTGATGACTGGGCCTCTGCAGTGTGGCAGCCCCAAGGCAGCGGAGCTCCGAGCAGATGAGAAGGTGAGGGACAGATGACAACCGTAGTCGTCAGGAATGAAGACCAGCCAGCGCTGGTGGAAGTCAAAGATAATCTTCCACCCTCCTGGCTCTCTCCCCCACATGCCAGCCAGATGAAGGTGGTTATTTCAAGGAGTTTCCAAGAATGGCATTTGATATATATAATTCCAAGGGAAGCTGGGGTGAGGCGTTGTAGTTTCCTTACTCTCCCCGGCCAGGACTCCAGGACACATCCACAGCCCTCCCCTACCACATCCTGTGTCACAAGCGGAAGTCACAGTAAACACACACACACATTTTCTTTCTCTCACCCGCTGGCACTCTGAACAGAATTGGGAGTAGAAGCCATTCAGTGGCAAGAATTGGTGTCTCAAATCTAGGCTCTCTGAGGATCGCTGGATACTAGTTGGACCCCCAGGTTCCGATGGTGTGCTGGATTGTCCACACTTGTGTGGTGCAGGGCCGCAGCACAGGCATATAGTAACTGGAAGCCTTCTTTATCTCCAGACATCGTTTGGTGGCCCTGTTTATGAGGGCTTTTCCCTGGATGGGAAGAGAGACAATCAAGGTATTGAAATGCCCTAGCCATGCCTCACCTCCCTGTGCCTACTCTCTGCTTTGCTCACAAAAAAAGCTGGAGGGTCCCTCGGTTCTCTGCAAGCCATCCAGAGGACAAAGGAAGCAAAGTGTAGCTTCGGGTCACCCAGTGCTTTCTCTCCAAGCCCCGTGGTAACCTAACCATAGGTCTGGGGTAAGCACTGCAGTGCTGGGTTCTGATGTTATCATCTGCCTCTCCCAAGATTGAGCATCCGGTCAGTGTGACTGACAAGACATGATGCCCCTTGGAGAGCCATGACTGACCTTCCTTTTCACACCTGCAGCTCTGAGCCTGTAACACCCATTAGGATTCTTCCTCCTTCTTCAGTGAGGCTCTGTGATAGGACTGGAGTGAGAGCTACATTCAGGAATCTCAGCCTATTTTCTCCATCACTCTGGGGGCAGTTCCTACTTCTCCCATGTGGGGCCTCCATGAGGGTTTACTACCGGGAATGTTGCAGGCTTTAGAGCTAAAACATCTGTGTTAAATCCCTGCTCAAACATCTACAGAGAGGCCTTTGGCAAATTCCTAACCTGCTTAGTCTTCAATTTCCTCATCTACAGAATGGGTTGAGAAGTAATATTAGGGTTACAGTTAGGTTTAATGTTTATTGAGCATCTTGAGGCAGAGACCACATTCTCAAGGCCACATTCCTGCTCCCTCCCTAGCCATCAGCTCCATACCTCTCTTCTCTTCCAATCACAAACTGCCCCCAGCAACCCTGTTCCCAAATGTCACCTGCCCTGGCCACACTGGACTCCCTCCACCCCCACCTCCCACGATGCATCCATCCAGCATCACCATTCAAGGTGGCTCTCCGGTTCTTGAACTCTTCCCACTCCCACTGCTCCTTTCTCTTGGCCCCCACTTTCAGACAACACAGGGCCACCATTGGAGTGGAGTGGACCTAGCCCACAAATGTGCCTACAGCAGTCTGACCTCAGCACTTGGCTTACTCCTTAGGGTTACTCCTCCAGGCCTCCTTAGCATGCTTTGTCCCTTTCACTCAATGACTTTAGTTTTCACTTTGTCAGAAGACCCCGCTTCCAGTCAGTCGACCCCTCGCCCAAATGACATGGGTGGTCTCAGAGGAGCTGCCCTGCTTCTGTCTCTACTGCCAGCAGCCCCTGTGCTCTGAGCCCAGCCGCACTTGACATATATAGAGAAAAACACTCTTCCTGTCTAACATCCTTCCTTTATTTCTCTCTCTTAGCAGCTTCCTTTTCTACTGACTTTAAATAAATCCAAATGTCCCAATATAAAAGGGGGAGGACACCCTTAACTCAACCTTTTCAAACCAACATTCAGTGTTTTTCTCCCTTTCAGAAACAAACTTCCTAAGCAATGAGGCAATAACAAATAGTGGATAAGATTCTGTCTTTGAACCCACAGCATTTACTATGCTATGTGACCTTGGGAATATTATGTGACTTCTCTGTGCTTTAGTTGCAACATAGCTAACGTAGAGCTAACAATAATACTTGTCTTATAAAATTTATGTAAAGATCATGTTTAATCCAGTGCCTGGTACAGAATACATACTCAATAAATCTTGGCTATTATAATTTACTAGTGGCCGAGTGCACGAAATTCATACACAGGGGTGGGGGGGATGTCCCTCAGCCCGGCCTGCACCCTCTTCAATCTGGGACCTCTTGGGGGATGTTCAACTGCCGGTTTAGGCCCGATCCCACAGGGCCTAAACTGGCAGTCGGACATCCCGCTCACAATCTGGGACCATTGACTCCTAACTGCTCACCTGCCTGCCTGCCTGATCGCCCCTAACCACTCTGCCTGCTGGCCTGATCAACCCCAACTGCCCCCCCCTTCTGGCTGATAGCCTGATCACTCCCACCTGTCTCCTCCCCCCCCCCGGCTGGCCTGCTTGTCTCCAACTGCCCCCCTGCCAGCCTGCTTGCCCCCAACTGCCCCCCCTTCTGGCCTGATCACCCTTAACTGCCCACCCCTGCCAGACTGATTGTCCCCAACTGCCCCCCCTACCGGCCCCTAACCCCCTCTGCCTCGGCCCCACCACCATGGCTTTGTCTGGAGGACATCTGGAAGGTCTCCTGGTCTAATTAACATATTACCCTTTTATTAGTATAGATTGTGATCTTTCTGAGAGAGTCAATGATCTTTTTTCTATTTTCGAGTCATTTACAAATGAGATGTGTTTTGGCAGTATTCCTTACATCCTCTCCAAACTCTGGTTTCTTTTGCATTGTATTCATCTGGATCTAATACATTTTTGCTTTGGTTTTTATTTGGGGGTGTTGCCTGCCAGTTTTAAAGAGATTTTTGTTTTTGTTTCTTTTTCCTTTTTACAAAAGGAATATGTGCTTTTTTTAAACTTGGAAAATATATTTTTAAAATTAGAAGCACTCATAATGGGACAGCATTGCATATAAAGTTTTTATATCCTGTTCTTTAAATCTAACATTACATCATGTACTTTTTCCAATTTCACTAATTTTTTGAAAATATATTTCTTACGGATAGTTTGAATGGCTATATAATATTCAGTTCAAGGAATGAACAAAAATCTCCCATACTGTTAGACATTCAATTGTTCCTAATATTTTGCCATGATAAATAGTAAGATATTTTCTATACAAATCTTGACCTACATTCTTTATTATTCCTTATATTAAGATATTGTCTTAAAAGAAATCTAGTGCCTTTAAAAGGGGAATAATTAGTTTTGGGGTTCTGATCAGTGTTAGTGTTTTCCCTGTAGAGAGCTAAGTTGCTTTCTGGAACTATTCCCACAGGCAGCTTAGGAGAGCACCCCCCAGAGGTCTCTTCTTGAACCCTGACTACAAGTGGTCTCCTCGCTACCTCTCCCAGAGATTCTCTTGTCACTCCAACTGGAAGACTTCCTAACAATGACCTTCACCCACATTCTTTCTAAATCAGATGTGTCTCTATTCTAACTCATCTCTTCACACTGGGTCTCTTCACAGTCACTGGCTCTATTCTCTGTGGTCTTTGAAGGTCATAACCTCACCGGTTGACTCCAAATGTTAATCATGAATTTGGAAGAAAACAAAGGGATTGTCTAGTCTTACCCATCCCCCTCAATTCTGGAATATATCTTTGGTAACTTTTTGGTAGAATGAAGGTAGAAGTTGTGTCTACAAAGTAAACAGAGCACAAAAGGGTCCCAACATTCAATCAAGTATTATGTTCATATCTGAAAGAATTGGGATAAGACAGTTATGAAAGGCTCAGATAGAATGAATTGACTTAAAACTGACTCGAAATCAGGAAACACCATCATCTACATGGTTGCCTCCCTCTTTGGCTTTCAGAGTTCTTGGCATAGTAACATAAAAAGGGATCCATCCTGGACACCAGAGTGGTGGGCAGGCTCCCCCAGCTGCCCTGCAGCTCCAGGGCTCGCTCACCACAACCTGTATTCTATCAGCAACTTCAGCCACCTGAGAAAATAATCTTCCAAAATTCTCTTGAGAAGGCAACCCCCCAAATGTTTGGGATGTCATAATTGTTTCTTTAGCATATGTAATATCTTGATTCCCAGGAGATTTGGACTTAAGTATAAATGTTAAAGGAACCAAAGACATAGTATTTGTTGAAGATTCTGCATATATTACTGTTTTTAAGTACATGCTATACTTAAGAAACATTGTGTTACAGGTTAATATTATGCTACCAATTTAAAAAGTTGTAATTGAATAATTATATTTATGATTATATGTTGAAATTTTACTGGATTGCAAACTTTTAAACACTTAAATGATCTTAAACATTATTCAATTTAAAGTCAGGGAACTGACTGTCTTAAGAAAGAAAATTTAATGTATTAAATTTATAAATATAGTCTATAATGTGTAAGGGTATTTATTAAATTGTAAATCCTCTTTAAAGTTGCTAAGAAAGTAGATCTTAAAAATTCTCATAAGAAAATATATTTTGCAACTGCTGATGAATGCTAACTAAACTTATTGTATGTGTAAACATTTTGTAATAATTTATATATATTGTGTTGTACACCTGAAATTAACATAATGTAATATGTCAATTATATCTCAATAATAAAAAATAAATAAGTAAACACTACAAATAACTCTAAACTTGTAAATTTAAAGAAAAGGGCTAATTTTCCAAAACCCATAAACAAACAAAATTCAATCATCTATAATAATAAAAGTGTAATATGCTAATTAGACTGGACGTCCTTTCGAAGCCAGGGCTGCGAGGAAAGCCCAGGTCCTGGGTGCCAGAGGGAAGCCGGTACTGGCAGCCAGGGGAAGGAAGGCCTACTCTTGCACGAATTCCATGCATTGGGCCTCTAGTCATAAATAATTATAAAAACTCAAAATAAATCATCTAAATAGCTCTGTACCATTAAAAAATTTTTCAATTCATTATTTAAAAGCTCCTGAAAAAAAGAATTCTCCCATGCCCATAAGATCTCACTAAAGAAGTATACTAAACATTTAAAGAAGGATTATATTGGCTAGAATTTCTAGTACTATGTTGTACACCAATTTAAGACAATCTCTTCCAGAGAATCTCTTCCAGAAAATGCCTCTTCCAGAAATTGGTCTCTTCTATAATTTTTGTCAAAAGGATAAATTTTATCAACAGGAAGAGGAAACACTTCCTAACTCACTCCATAGGCCAGTACTAAAACCAAAGACTAAAAAAAAGAAAAGCTGCAAAACATGATCTGTAGCCAACTTAGACACAAAAATCTTCAACAAAATACCAGCAATTCAAATCCAGCAAAGTATGAAAAAAAGTATACACTGTGACTAAGTGTGATTTATTCCTGGTACACAAGCCTGGTTCAACTTTGAAAATTAATCAGTGTAATCCATTATATCAATAAGCTAAAGAAGAAAAAGCTTGATCATATCAACTGATACAGAAAAAGTATTTGACAAAATCTAATTTACAATCATGATAAAACAAACGCTTAAAAAGTTAGAAACACGGGGAAATTATTTCAACTGTAGATAACATTAGCATCTACAGCTAATGTTATGCTTAATGGTAAAATACTCAGTGCTTTTCCCCTATGTTTGAACACAAGGCTAGGATATTCACTCTAATCACCCTTATTTAACATAGTACTAGAAATTCTAGCTAAAATAATAAAACAAGAAAAACAAATAAAAGTCATATAGATTAGACACTTCAAATGTGATTGTTCCGGGGAGGGGTAGGTGTGAGGTGGAGGGGGTCAATGGGATAAAAAAACAATAAAGGGGACATCTGTAATACTTTCAACAATAAAGATATATTTCTTAAAGTGATTGTTAAGCTTGATAGGTTCATAGATAAAATAAGATTTGTGAGTGGAACATAAAAGCTTAAAGAAAAACTAGAGGTTTTTAATTTATAACTTTAATAAATGGATCATTAATTTTTAATGAAAATAAACCTGGAATTGCATTTTCTACAAAAGATATCATTAAGGATGTCAAAAACTCACATTAACTGCACTAGCTGCCAGATGCTCAGACATGCTTTGCTTGGTGACTACTATTGACAGAATGCTCACCACCTTTCCAGGCAGCCCATTCTTTTGTAGGACAGTTTAAGCCATGAGACCGTTAGAAATTCCTTCCCCCGCCCATTATGTTAAGTCAAAGTCCTTGACCTCCAACAACTGGTCTTAGCTCTGCCCTCCTGTAGACACTGAACAAGTTTACTTCCTCTTTCTCATGAACACAGCATCATCTTTTCTCTAGATTCGCCACTCCTCTACCTCCAGGTCTGCCAATCTTTTATTTCTTCTGCAACCATTTCTTGAATGCCTGCAATGTCCCAGGTACTCTGTTAGATGCTAGAGAAAACAACACACAAAACCCAGGTCCTGCCCTCCAGCCTACAGTCTAGTGATTAAAAGAAGCAAGTGAGCAGGCAATTAAAACAGACAATGAGACAAGGTGTAGAAGAGGGGCCCTGATAGCACATAGAGAATTCAGAGGAACACTTTACATTTGGCCGGGTAAAAAGGTGGGAGGAGAGAAAATAACACCCACAAAAGTGCCTCAGATAAGTGGAAGCATGGCCTTTCATAGAATTATATATATTTCCATACAGTTGGAGCTTAGAGCAGAAAGACAGGACTTAATCCCCTCCTGTTGTCTTGTTAAGAGAGACTTCATCTAAGATCCAAAACCCCTTTGAAATTGTAAGCAAAATTGTGCCCTTATGTGCATATATATTAGTATGTTTTCCTGGAGTTAGTCCATTCCTATTCTGCAGCAGATTCCCAAAGAGATTATTTGCTTTAAGTTAGGAATTTCTGAGTTAGATTGTCCATGTCCTTTTATATGAGGCTCCTGACCCTCATAAAGTACCAACATACTCAGAGCTATATCCATAGACAAAGCATTGCCTCCCTCCATCAAGACATCACAGTCCTGCCAGTGTGGCTTAATGCTGCCCTATTACATGATAAATTCACACTGACTCTGTCAACCAGGTCCCTCATGCCACTGTCATGTAAATTCTGACAGATTCCCTCCACCTTGTTCTTGCTCAATTGATGTTGAAGTTAAAGTCAGGACTTTTATATAGTCCCTGTCAAATTTCAGCCCAGTGCTCCAGACTCTCTGCTTAGCATTAACAATAAAACTGATCACAATGGCTAATCCTATATAATAAAGAGGTAATATTCAAATTGGCCATCACGCTCTCGCACAAGATGGCTGCCCCCATGTGGTCAAAGATGGCTGCCCCCATGTGGTCACTAGATGGCCAGCAGGAGAGGGCAGTTGGGGGCGACCGGGCCAGCAGGGGAGCAGTTAGGCATTCATCAGGCTGGCAGGGGAGTAGTTAGGGAGTGATCAGGCTGGCAGGCAGGCGAGCGGTTAGGAGCCAGCAGTCCCAGATTGTGAGAGGGATGTCCCAGATTGAAGAGGGTTCAGGCTTGGCTGAGGGACACTCCCCCCCCCTCCCCCATGCACGAATTTTGTGCACTGGGCCTCTAGTCTATAATAATAAAAACATAATATGCTAATTAGACCAGACAGCCGAACGACCTTCCGGATGAAGCCGCAGTGGCGGAGCCGAGGCAGAGGCGGTTTAGGGGTGATCAGGCAGGCAGGCGAGCGGTTAGGAGCCAGCGGTCCCGGATTGCGAGAGGGATATCCGACTGCCAGTTTAGGCCTGATCCCGCAGGGATCCCTGACATCCGCTGAGGGGTCCCGGATTGTGAGAGGGTGCAGGCCGGGCTGAGGGATGCCCCCCCACCCCAGTGCACAAATTTCGTGCACCAGGCCTCTAGTATTTATTGAATACTTTCTATGTGCCAGGCACTATGCTAAAATGCTTTACACATGTTATCTCATTTAATCCTCCCAACCCATAAAGTCGATACTACTTCCATTTTATGGATGAGGAAACTGAGACTCAGAGAGGGCAACAAAATTGCTAAATGTAACTGAACTATGATTTGAACCCAAATGCTTAACTGTTAAACTATAACAGTTTCCAGATGTTTTTCCCTTCAACACCCACCTTAGTCAACAGACTCGGTGTTTCATACCCAGTTCCCTGTTTCCGATGTTTTCCCTACACATGGTCACAAACTGAGTCTTTCTAAAACACTATGAAATCAAATATGAATCTCTCAGATTATATTTGAATATATCTATCCTTTAAAAAGTACATGACTCACCGGCTTAAAATCCCAATATATGTGCAGTCCATTTTGGGCTGCCTTGGAACATGGCTCCAAAGTAGGATTCTCCCCACTGCCAGGGTCTGTCAGGCAGCAGTCCTCAGCATTTGCCTCTGCAATCAGCGATCCCACGTACAACTCCCCAGTTAGATGGTAGTAGACTTTCTAAAAGACAGCAAAGCGATCTGCTGTAGACAGTCTGTGGAGAGGCCCTCGACCTGGATAGTGGACTGCTTATGGGTCCCGTGGACACTCAGTCACCAGGGGGAGCACTGAATTTTCCTGAGTAACAAGTAGTACCCTCTGTTTCTTTCTCCCACCACCCCCAGTTGATTCTAGGGAGAAGACCAGGCATGAGGAGGGAACACTAGCCTGCCTCCTTCCATACAGGGAGCCCAACAGAATCATGGCTTGTGTGGATGAGGGAGCTTATCTTTGGGGGGGAAAAAACTCAACTGAACTTCATTACGTGTCATCGGAAGCCTTCACTATGAGCTTGTTGTTAGGAAACCTTTCAAATTTTCAATCTGACCCTCCCTTGCTCAGTGAGTTCGAACAAGCAAGTTGTTTTGTGTCACAGCTTTTTTTTTTTTTTCATTCGTCAAGTGGAAATGCTATCTATCCTGCACCCCTCAAGAGGTTCCTGTGAGGGCAACATTCGAAGTAACATGACAGATATGAGTAGTCTCAGGGAAAAAGAAGTCCCCTGCTACACCTCCCACTTGGTGCCAGATCTCTCTTATCCCCTGGAAGGACTCCCATTCTGCCAGGGACTCTCTTCTCTAGCCCCTGTTTCCTTCTCTATGGAAGAAGCCACAGCTCCCCACCTTCCCACACAAGGAGCAGTGGGGGGTGGGGGTGGAGGGAGGCCGTGGGAAGAGGGGGGAAAGGAACTGAAGATTTTGTCAATGAAAATATTACCATGGAGAATGAATGCAACAGATCAGAGCCTTTTCATCTTCCCTACCCATATCTGAAATAGAACTGTCCTGCCATAACGTTTTGAATGAACTTGGAAGTGCTTAGTTAAACGTACAGGTTGGGGTTTCACCATGACTCATTACCCAGGATTCCCAGCTCCTGCCTCCCTGACATCTGGCACTGAGTCCAAATCTGGCAAAGGTTGCTAGGGCTGAGCCTCAACAGACTCATCCTGTCCCGGCAAAGAAGGTTGTGGAAGATACCTGTGGACTGTATTCATTACAAAAATACATGATGGGGGTCTTGCCCTTAAAAGGGCCCCGATCCAGGCAGTCATTTTCACTCAGCGAGTTTTTTATCTGAAGGAGCAAAACACATGACAACATGATTGGAAAGAGTCGGAGAAAGAGAGTACCAAGCCTCCCAGACCCTGCATTTTCTCCAGTGCTCCAAGGGGCCAGGAATTACCAGCCAAAGGGACCAGCAGTTTGCTATCCTGACAGCAATTTTCTAAGCAAATTTCTAAGGCAAATGCTGAAGTGAGGCCCTGCTCTGATCCCCACTTCCTGGGAATGCCCGCCCACTGGGACCATCACAACGTATATAAAGAAGGGACACCTACAGCCACCTTCAGGTGGGTGAGGCCAAACACCCTGATTGGCTGAGAAATGGGAGAGGCAGAGCAAGGGCTGCCAAGTAAGGAAGTAGAGGCAGAGAGAAGGAAAGGAGATGGGAACTGGGGAGTAAGAGATAACAGGAACTGAGAGGGCCCAAGGGCAAACCGCTGAGGAAGGAGTTGGGCGACAGGAAGAGAATCTTGGACAGGATGCGTTTGGGAAACCCTTTTCTGGGTAGTCATGTGATTCAGGTTTCATTGTCTGTCACAGTCAAATATTTAAAATCTGAAATGCAATTTCATAATACGTACTCTTCCATAGCCTACAATGTTGTGGATTGGCTTCAGGGCTGGATAAACATTTTTCAGATACCAGTCAAAAGTTTTACATTTCAGGTTTTCCCGGAGTGCCATTCTGGAAGAAATGTCTCCATAATCGATTCCAGAGTTCTGTAAGTAAAACATGGAGTGTTTCTGTGTAAATAAAACATGGAATGTTTCTGTGTAATGTCCTTGGCTCCATCAAAGGATATGGATGATGCCTGAGGGAAGGGGGTATTTTTCTGATGGTCCATAAAGTAACCTTTATAATGTATAGTTTTCTGGGGAGAGTGAAAAAAGCTTGAACCTTAGGAATCACATTGGCCTTAAAGGCACTTGCAAGGCCTGTGGTAGGGTCACTCAGGTTTCTTTCTCATCATTAGCAAGCTAATGCAGACTGCTCCTGTTAGAGATCATACTTATATCAGTAAAACACAAAATACTACTCATGATGGCCAGAAAAGGCTTTCAAAAGCAATATTCTGGCATCAAGATTTTGGTGGTTAAGTGGCATTTTCTAAAAGTGATATCTGTGGGGAATCAAACTGAAAGAATGTTTGAGCCCAGAGCCACAGCTCAGAAGCAGAAGATAGCAACTCACCCTGACCTCCAGTGGCAGGGACAATGTATGGCCTTAGCCAAGAAGGTCATCTGCATTCATGTGCATCCAACAGGATTATAGTCTCTATTCCCACCATCTCACATCCCGCCTACCATGTTTATGTCCTCTTAAGACAGTGAGTTCCTGATGTCCAACCCTGTACCATAAAGATTCCACCAGTAATGATGATGGATGAACAAGAAATGTAGAGGATTACTTGGTTTGAATCTTATCTCAGCCACTTACTAACTTATTACCTTAAACAAGTTTCTTTCAATTCTCTGTGCTTCAGTTTCTTCATATGTAAACTTAGAATAATAAAAATAAAACCTACCCAAGGAAGAGTCTGCGCTTGCTTCCTCCCACGACCACATCAAAACTACAACTAAATTATAGAACAGCCACCCTTGAGAACCACCTGAAGACTAGCTGAACAGAACTCCTATAACTAAGGATATAAAGAAGAAGGATATATAGAGGGTAGGAGGGGCGCAAATGCAAAATGGGCTGGCCCCACACCCACATATGGTGGGTAAGACCTTCTCAGCTGTGAAGGTCCTCACTGGGGAGTGAAGGGTCCCGGCTCACACCTCACTCCCCAGCCCGAAGAACCAGTGCTGGGAATAGGAGTCCCCACAATATCTGTCTGTGAACATCAGCAGGAAGTCCATCCAGGTGAGACAGAAGGCTGCTGTAGACCAGATATCCTTTTAAAGAACCCAAGCGAAAACTCAATCGCTCACACTTGCCCTAAGCTCCAGCAAAGGGACAGCAGCTTGGAAAGCACCAGTGATATATGGGGAGAAACTGAATTGACTGGCTTCAGAGAGAGGGAAGGAAGGGCAGCTCTCTCATGGACAGAAGTACTGACAGATGCCATTATTCCTTTATTGAGCCCTCTCCCCACACAGCAGGCAGACACAGGTGTGCACTACATGTGAATCTCCATCAGCCCCAAGCTTGGCATGAGTGGCAGTCACACTTGGTCCATAGCATAACTGGTCCCAGATGCCTCCAACCCAACAGAGGGAGCTATCAACCACTGATCATTTTGTAGCTCCTACCAGGTGGCCCCAGGCCAGGCAGGCGGCAGCTCACTTTGGCTAACACTGGAGCTCTTCTCAAGAGGCCCCAGAAACAACACACCCAGTGGCCAGCTTCAGACCACACCAGAGCACCACCCAATTAGTTCCACAAATGACACACCGAAAGGGCAAATTCAGCAGACACCACAGCCCCAGAAGAACCCCATTCTATGAGGTCATTCACACACCAACAGGTTGTCTGTTGTAGCCATGGTCAGCCCTCACACCCAGTCAGCTTGGGGGTCAATCTCACCCACTGATGTGCCAACAGAAATCAAGGCTCAACTACAACAGGAGGGCACACACAACCCATACAAAGGACAGTCCTGGCACACCCATCTCAGGTGACCGGGGAGACTGTGCCACTGAACCCATTAAGACACCTACTATATAAGGTGACCCTCCCAAGATTGGGAGACATAGCAGATCTACCTAATACATAGAAACAAGCACAGGAGGTAGTCAAAAAAGAGAAGAAAAAAACATATCTCAAATTAAACAAGACAAAACTCCAGAAAAAGAACTAAACAAAATGGAGGCAAGCAATAGAACTACCAAATAACCCAGCAATTCCACTTTTGAGTTTTTATTTGAAGAAATCCAAAACACTATTTTGAAAGAATATATGGACCCCTATAATCATTGCAGCATTATTTGCAACAAAGTCTAAAAGCAACCTAAGTGTCCAAATGGGTAAAGAAGATGTGGTATATATTCAATGGAATTTTACTTAGCCATAAACAAGAATAAAATCTTGCCATTTGTGACAACATGTATGTACACAGAGGGTATTTAGACTAAGTAAAATAAGTCAGACAGAGAAAGGCAAATATCACATTATTTCACTTCTATGTGGAAAATAAAAAACAAAATAAATAAACAAATAAAACAGAAATAAACTCATAGATATAGAGAACAAACTGATAGTTGCCAGATGTTAGGGGGTTTGGGAGCTATGTGTAAAGAGTGAAGGGATTAAGAAGTAAAAATTGGGAGTTACAAATTAATCACAGGAATGTAAAGTGCAGCATAGGGAATATTGTAATAACTATGTACTGTGCCAGGTGAGCATTAGACTTATCACAGGGAACACTTGATAAGTTATATAAGTGCCTAAGCATTATGATATACACCTGAAACTAATATAACATTGAATGTCAACTGCAATAGAAAATTTTAAAAATACATAAAATTAAAAATAAAACCTATGCTCTAAGTATGTTGTGATAATTAAAGAGTCTGGAACATAGTCTTACTACATAAATGTTGTGTCATCATCATCACACCATCTGGATGTTACCCTTATTCTTTAGGGCTGGGATGACACTTTTGCTGTATCCCTTCCTATTTCCCACCACTACCACCACCTCCTCCTCCTGGTCCTATTCAATGCCATGACAAACCTGGAGTGGTATGTTCCAGGCCAAGTAGACCATGTATTTGTACTCATCCATCCAGATTTCGGCCACTCTGAGAGCATTGCGCTTCATAGCAGGAGTCAGATCCAAGGCATAGGGCTTGTGATTTCTCTCTATGTGAGCAATCCGGGAGCAGGGCAAGACCTCAATTCTCCCCCCACACTGCCACACCTGCAAGAGAAGCGGGAAAAATCATCTGGACAGTCTTGGTGCCACAGCTAATAAATACCATTGCTTACTGATGCACAGAGACCAATATTTTGGAGCCATTTTTTAAAGAACATAAATTCAGTCCTCCCACTCCCATCTTTATGTTACCTCCCAAACTACTTATCTAAAACAATCCTCCTTAGAAGTTTACCAAACTTCTTCTCTCCTGTCATTCAGACAGTTCCAGAAATCCTACCCACTTTAGGAAATCCTCCCGAACAAAACCAAAGGAAGGTCTGTTGCGGGAAGCCACCATTTGCCAATACTGTCATGAGAGTGCACCAAGGAACGCAGAAGGCCGATGGATCTTGAGCATTAGCAGGGTTGACGCTAAGCACCGATTGTTTGTGTTGAGATAGTGGTGGCTCGATAGTCTCCAAGTAAATGTTTACTGGACCTTACTGATCTTTACTGATCTTTATTGACCTTAGAGACGGTCTGTCTGCTACCTGTTTGCTGTGCTTTACTGAGGGCAAGATGTGTATCTAAAACTGAATAAAAGCAGATGGGACCCAGTTTCAGTGTGTCTCTTCAAGAAACAGGCTCCACCTGGCCCCCAATGCCTTCTAAATTCATATTTCTTGTATAGCATTTTCATTTGTCAGCCCCTCCTAGAATCCTGAACCCCACTGCGAAGGTCCTGGCAGTCTGTCCCTGCTCACTTATCCTCAAGAAAAGTGCAAATGTCCCGAGGAGCACCAAGCCCTGAGCTAATCACACTGGAGTTAGTGTCCTATGACCCCTCCTGGACCTGCATGCCAGATATTATGCAATGTGATGAACAGACCACAGGTGGTCCACATGATCCCTGCCCCCTCATCTTCACACCCTTCCTCACTCCCCTCCCCTTGAGTGTGGGTTTGTGATCTTCTTCTAACCAGTAGAATATGGCAAAGGTATGTACACGATTACATGTGTGTGATTACATTACATAAGATTATAGTGTCCATCCAGCAGCGGTTCTCAACCTGTGGGTTGCGAACAATGAAAATACATCCTGCATATCAGATATTTACATTACGATTCATAACAGTAGCAAAATTACAGTTATGAAGTAGCAACGAAAATAATTTTATGGTTGGGGGTCATCGCAACATGAGGAACTGATTTAAAGGGTCGCGGCATTAGGAAGGTGGGGAACCACTGAGCTAGAAGAAGCAAGCCACCAAGTTGTGAGCCACCACATGAAGAGTGCAAGAAACTAAGGGTGGCTGTTTGATAGACAGCCAAAACCTGAATGCCTCCTCAGTCTGGAAGACTTCAAGGAGCTGAATGTTGCCAATACCAACATGAGCCTAGAAGCAGATCCTTCTTCAGTCAGTCCTAGCTGAGAACCCAGCCCTGGACAACACCTTGACTGCATATAGGTATGACCATCTGACCAGTGCTGGCCAATGAAATACAATATACACAACTTGCAGGTAGAACTCATAAAAAAGAGGAATAGCATACTCTCTCTTTCCCTACTTTCTCTTCCTGCTAACTAGGATATGGATGTGATATTGAGTGAGGCAGAACCACAAGATGGGAGAGTCTTGGTCCCCATCACTCTGGAGCTGCCATCTCAATCCTGAACCACTTATGTTCAAACAGTCATGGAAGAAAAAAATTAATTTCTATCTTATTTAAACCGCTATTATTTTGGCCTCTGTCCCAAAAGCCAAATAAGAATTCTAATTCATATCTTCATAAAACATTTCAAATTATTTATTACATTTTAACTGCACAATTGTTCTTATTAGATAGTTTAAAAAAAAAAGGACACTTCTCTCCATTTCATAAGAGGAAATACTGATCAAGACCACCAGGCAAAAAAATAATAATTCTCTCTGCTAGAGAATGGTTGTGGCTTAATGGAAAACCCAGACAGGGACTCAAAGTTTATTTGTTAACACATAAATGTGGGATCTTGATTGGGTCCTAACTGGGTTCAATATGTGGTCTTCAGTCTCAATTGGAAAGAAACTGAAGGGAGTAGGACAAAATAAGCTTTATATAGGAAATTATCTTGTTCCTCCAGAAAACACAATGGGCCAGAGGTCACCTGGACTCAGGCACAGAATTTTGGAGCTGGGAGTTGCGGGGGTGAGCATTTTATAGAAATGGGGAATTAGCAGAGCCAGGATTAGAACCTAGGTCCAGCATTTTTTACAATACCATCCTGACATCCTTATTATTTTTTTTATTATAAACTCATTATCAAGTGTAAGCCATATGTCACTCACCATGCTAGGTTCTTGGTGCAGCAGGTATGGCTTAGGGAGTTTGTATCTGGCCAGGATAACACAAACTTTCTAGTGGAAAAGTAGGGTTTGGAATTAAGATTTGCATGAGACCTATTCCAAACTGATTGTGATGTGTTGAACTTATTGGCCCCAGTTCTCCATCACTTCATTGTAGACAGAAGATACACCCCACCCCTTGACTTTGGGCTTGACCATAAGATGTACTTTGACAAATTTAATAGGACAGAAAAAATAATGCACTAGTTCCAAACTGAAGCCTTCAGAGCCACCCCATCAAAGTCAAGCTGGAGCAGAGAAGAGGCATCATTGCTGAGTAGCCAGTGCACAGGAAGTTGGTCAGAATGAGAATTGGTTCGAGAATTTTATTGCTGTACAATCCATCATTGGCTATTTGTCCTAGACTAAACTACATCTCAGCATGACCTATGCCATCATGTCAGCTGTTCTAGCTGTCCATTCAGCTGTCCACACATCTGTATCCCCTGGACCCTCTACCCAGTTTCTCTTTGGTCTTATAGAAAGCTGTCTGCCACAGAGTTGTTTGATTCTAGATGTTTGGAAAATGCCTGGATTCCTCAAGACAAGGGGGGACACCATCTGCTGAGCCTCAGTTTTACCCTTTCCTCCGATATGTCCCAGATTATATAGACCTACATCAACAAGACTCCACTCCTGAAGTCCTCGTGCCTTTCTCTAGTGACCTACAAACATGAGGATTTGTCCACCTCTTGAACCATTGACATTCAGCCTTGTTTCAGGATTCCAGAGACACTACTCCTACCCTCCTATTATTTCTCCTCTGCTTTGTCCCATAAGAAGAACGGAAATGTACCCACCCGCAGACTAAGTTCCACATTCTCTCCTCCATAGACCAGCATTCCACCATCCACAGACCCGATCTTTCCCAGGAAGAGCCTGTTGGCTGCCAGGATGCCCATGATGGAAGGACTCCTGTGGAACACAAAGCAAGAGAAGTTACTAACCTCTCCATAATGAGTGGGTTAGGAGGGAGGGGAGCAGTAGGAAACACAGTGATGGTTTGGCCTTTGAAACTCCACCCAAACCTCTTATCCGTAGGGTTTCCTTAAGCCCTCTAGCTGAACTAAGTGTGTGTAACTTTCCCTCACCCTCTGTGTTGTCATGACTCTTCTCAAGGTCTATTAAAAGTACCTCTTTTTCATCTGGATATTCCTACTTCATAGCCTGATAAATGCTTTAAATGGCCCAAATGTTTTCTAAAACATTTGCTTTATTTTGCTTGAAAGCCCTCAAATAATCCAAAGTGTCTGTGATTTCTTATCTGGGATCAGCGTTTTTTATTTTTATTCCCTGTCCTTCATTCTTTTCACCCTTCTTCCATTACTACCATCACACCCCATTCATTCCTGACTTCCCATGTGCTAACCACGTTCCTGAGACCTCTCCGACTTACTTCACTGGAGCGGTGACATCATTCAGATCAATCCAGGCCTTTGGCAGTGAATCATAACGGCACCACAGTTCCCAGTTAAACCCATCAACTGCCAATCCATACTTTTCTAGTTCAAAGGTGTCAAAGTGAATTTTGTCAAACACAGGAGACACAATCACAGTGTGGTCTTCCTGAATCCGGGCCAAGATGGGCTCCGCCCTAGAAAAAGGATGTGTAACAAACCCAGGTTAGGTGTGTGGGTAAGCAGCAGGAGCAAGCAGACAAAGGTGCCCCAAGCATCAAGCGCCTTCTTCATTAATGTCTTGCCCTGACATTAAGCACCTTCTTCATTTAGACTGAGCTTGATGGTGAGAGGAACGCTCCAGAGTCCAGGAAAGTTCTTCAGCTTTTGGTATAGCTGGGATGCTAGCAGCTGACCCATGTCAAAAGCATATTTGAAATTAGGACCCAAATACTACCCCCGAGCTACTGTGAACCAGGACCATCAGTATTCCTGAATTTACATTACCTTTGGGTCACCCTGTTTCCAAAATGATAACTCTTTACTATCTGATTCTCCATTTTCTCCAAAGAACACAGCTCTCTTTATGTCATGTAATTTCAGGGCTGGGAAAAACCTTAGGAATTACCAAAAGGCAATCTCTTCAATTTTATAGATAAGAGCATGAATATCAAGTTAGATGAAGAGATGTATATACAAAGTCCCAAAGTATTTGGTAAAGTCAGGGTTGGGTGCAATGTCAATATGCCAAGCCCATTGTTTTTGCTCCAGCACTATCCTTAGCCAACCAAAATCCTCGAGTAAAAGCATCCTGTCTTTGTAGCTTCCCTGTGTTTAAGGTCTGATGTAGGCTTTCCCCATTTCCACACTATCCTGTCTTGTATTCAGCATTACAATATGTCCTTTCTCCCTTTTTTCAGAAGAAGAAACCATCTGGAGCCTTACCACCCAGCGTTCACTTCAATATGAGCATCCAGGATGGCTACCACTTCAGCTGTGGCCGCTTCCCTGCCAGTGTTGCGGGCTTGAGCAAGACCTTGTCTCTTGGTATGCCGCACTATTTTCAGTAGTCCTGGATACTTCTGGTTGTAAAGCTTAATAAGCTCATCCAAGTTTGCCTTTAGTTCTTCTGCCAAAAAAAAATACACACTTAAAGAAATTCTGAATGTAATGATCAGTTTGGTACAGAAATGTAATACTATTCTATAGTTAGTAGTGGTTGAACTATCTCCAGGTTAGGATGTGCGATTCTACAACCTTGACTGTTTCCCCTGCACCCACCTTCCTCTCTATTCCATCCTCAGTCTTAATAGCACCATTCTAATCTCTTTTCCCTCAAAGTTAAACTGCCTTAGAAATTGCTTACTATGTGCCAGACACTGTTATACCAGGTTTATGTATACTGAAATTTTTTAACAAGAATGAATAGGACAGTCCTAGCTAGTTTGGCTCAGTGGATAGAGCATCGGCCTGTGAACTGAAGGGACCCGGGTTTGATTCTGGTCAAGGGCAGGTACCTCAGTTGCAGGCTCCTGACCCTGCAGGAGACATTCAGTCAATGTGTCTCTCTCTCACAGCAGTGTTTCTCTCTGTCTCTTTCTCTCCCTTCCACTCTCTCTAAAAATCAATGGAAAAAAATATCCTTGGGTGAGGATTAAAAATAAATAGATAAATAAATAATATGCCTTAAAAAAAGAATGAGTAGGACAGACCTGATCTAACTATGATAGAAATATTGATGGTCAGACATTGCAGAGACAGCTCACAACATCTTCTCCACAACTAAACACTCAAGGTTTTTCTAAAGAATGCATAATCAACTGAAATTGTTTTGTCTTGTGTTAGCTATTTCTACTTGGCCTACTCAAGGACCAACTGGGACAGAATGCCCAACTAATGCCTTTTCTAACTTCCAGCTAATGAGTATATCCCCCAAATTATGCAAACAACATTCACTATTCCAAGATTGCTTATAGTTTTCTTTCTCTCTCTTTCTCCTCTCTTTTATAAAGCCTATCTATGCATTTGTTCTTTGGGTAAGCCTACTAGTTGACTTTCTCATACGTATGAAGACAACTTACATACAAATCACTAAGCAATGTTTAAAATATCTAACCAAATGACTCCCTGATAATATTAATTCATTTAATTCTCAAAAAATCCTATGAGGAAGGCACTTCCAGTATCCCCACTTTACAGATGAAAAAACTGAAGCACAGAGAGGTTAAGAAACTTGTTTAAATCACACATCAAGTAAGTGGCATACCTGAGTGTGAGCCCGTGTTGTATTTAACCACCATGCCATGCTGCCTCAAGGACTATGTATGTAATGGCTGGATTTATCAAGATTTCCCTCCATCTCCTCTCCCCTATTCACACCCCCCAGTGGCCAAGAGATTCGATTCTTTCTGATTCCTTTCTCAGAAGAAGATTAGATTTGTGAATCCTGGAGTGGTCAGGACCTGGAATCAATAACGACATGACTATGGTACTAAAATCATACCCATTTTAGGACTTTCCCTATTGTACTCCAGGATGATGAATCGGTAATTGAAGGTGTTAAAGAGAGCCAATGGACCTGAAGGCTGTTTGCTCCTACTGAAAAAAAATAAAAGGTTGAAATTCACTAAATTCACTCTGTCACTAATTTTAGAAAGTAATCAGAAGGGGTTGACACATTTTTTTTCTGCTTCTGCTGCCACCACGGCATCTGTGGGAAAGCTTGTAGGAAAGCAGGACAAAAACAAACAAAGAAGCAGGCTCTGGAGTTCACCTTTGTCTTCACCCACCCTGTGGGACGTGGAATCATGACTACTGCAAATTTTGAACAATTTCTTCAAGAAAGAAAAAGTGAATAGAAAAGCTGTGACTCTCAGTGAAGGATTGCAACTATTGAAAGGAGCAAGAGCAAGATTGCCATAGTTTCTGAGGTTCTTTAAAAAAAACACACACATATTTTTATTGATCTCAGAGAGGCAGGAGAGGAAGAGGGAGATAGAAACATCAATGATGAGAGAGAATCATAGATCAGTTGCCTCCTGCACACAGAACACCGGGGATCAAGCCTACAACCCGGACATGTGCCCTTGACCGGAATCAAACCTGGGACCCTTCAGTCCACAGGCTGACACTCTATCCACTGAGCAAAACCGGCTAGGGCCTGAGGTTCTTTTTTAAAGAGATATTTGAAATATCTCACAAAAAATATTTGGAGAATAATCTATGAGATTGGTTGCATGTGGCAAAGAGAGTTAGGAATTACATTAGTTCCAGATAAACCAGGATGAAGAGGAGGAGAAAAATGAGGACCAAAATTCATTTATCTGGCATATTTTGCATGAGTTCTTGAATTAAACTTGGGAACCAAAATAGTGGGGGAGGAGGAATAAAAGAAAAGAAGGGGTTGCTAGAGACTCTGGATATCTAGATTATAATTTGGGCTCCCTCACTATCTAATTCTGTGTCACTTCCCATTTGGGGAATTCTGTTTCCAAAACTTAGAGAAGGCTGGATAACGTCAGTACCCTTCCAATTCCAAAGTCCTATGAGCTGTAGATTTCTATTCACCCTTTCAGAAATAATGCCTATAGTCCAACATAAGAATTAAAGACCCTCAATGGATCTTCTAAAGTAAACTTATGTTTCCTTCTCAGTCTTGCTTTCCCATTGATACTCCCCCTACTCCAACCCCCAAAAGACTCTTTATTTCAGGCTGGTCAGCTCAGGGTGCTTCTGGCTTCTGTATCTTTGCTCACATCTTTTTGTTTTGTTTTTTTCCTCTACTCCCTATGTAACCCCACCAGAGCCAGTCGGTCTTCCTTTGTTTTCTTTGCCTTTTCAAATCCTAGCAAGCTTTCAAGTCCCAACCCAAGACCCTTTCCTCCGGGAAGCCTCCCTAAGTCATCCCAATTACTTCTCTGGGATTTCTTACACTCACTGACAGCTCACTCAGTTTGACACACTACTTTTCATACATCGAGGTGTCTTTTCATAGGTTTGTCTTGCCTCATCACTTAAAATGGGAACTTCTTGAAATTACTGACATTCTCTTCCATGCATAATGCCTGGCACATGGTAGAAACTCAATAAGTAGTTGTTGATTGTGGAATTTGCCTAAAATTGGAGAGAAAATACAGGGTTCCACCTACATTAATATAATTTCTGAAAACTTAGATTAGTTTCTGTTGACATGAAACACTTGACCTGATGCAAATTAAGCTTTACATCTAGGGAAATAAAGGAAGGGGACACTCCTCTAATACCAGGTTGTGGCATTTCAATTGTACGACAAATTATACTGAGATAAACAAGGATTACAACACCGGCTAGCATTTATTGGGAACAAGCCCTGTTCTGAGGACATTACAAGTGTTATTTAACCCCCAGAAAGGTCCTATCAGAAAGGCAGTGTTATTTCTCCCATGTTACAGATGAGGAAATGGGGCATAATGTAGCTGAGTAACTTACCCTCACAGTCACATGAATAATAAGTTTATCTTGTGGCATGCATGGTAGAGACTGTCAATTATTTTTCTCAGTGTAGCACAAAACAGATTTTTGAGTTCTGTTCCGTGTAGGCCCAAACTAGCTGATGTTTCCATGGTTAATGAGAGAGAAATTGATTCCTGTCCCAGTGACAACAAAGAACGACTAACAATTCCCTCTTCTGTGCCCATCCAAAAAATTATCTCTGTGGAAAACACAAATGAACTCTCAACTCAAGTGAGAGGATGCATTATATGATGGGGGCACAATGGAACAAACAAGGACTATGTTATGTGTCTACCCTATGTTTGTAATTTTGTATCTTTAATTTCATTGGTCCACATGAAAAAGTCTTGAATTATTTCTTATCTGTTCCTCATGGAATGTAGACTTACAGAATCATTGATTTTTTTTTCATAGAACAATATACCTTCAGAGTCCCTCTACCATAGCCCCTGAATTTGTCCCATGAAGAAGCTGAGTCCCAGCAAGGTGAGATGACTTGACTTGCCTCAGGTCATCTCAGAGAGCCAAGGAGTGGAGCCAGGTCTTCTCAGGTGTCCAGAACAGAGGTCTTTCTAATTACATTCCTATTTCTTGCTTGAAATTCAGGTATACAAGTGGCTATTGACCTCCATTTCCTGAAATGAATGAAGTCAGCCATTCTCTTTTCTTTTTTTCTGGTGGAATTTTGCTTGGGAATTGTAACGCCTTGTGTTTTTTTTGTGTGTGTGTGTGTGCAGTTATATTGGAAGGACAAGAGAGGAAGGTATTTAAAACATGAAAAAGATATCTAGCTGGTTTGGCTCAGTGAGTAGAATGTCGGCCTGCGGACTGAAGGGTCTTGGGTTTGATTCTGGCCAAGGGCATATGTCCAGGTTGCAGGCTTGATCCCCAGTAGGGGACGTGCAAGAGGCAGCCTATCAATGATTCTCTCTTATCATTGACATGTCTATCTTTCTCTCTCCCTTTTCCTCTCTGAAATCAATAAAAATATATTTTAAAAAAACAAACAACATTAAAAAGAGTATTTTTAGTGTCTGGAAATCCAAAAATGAAGGTTTAAGAGGTCATTTGTCTCTTCTCCTCTGGTGAAACAGCCCTTAATTTGAAGCTACAGTAACCTGTCTGGTACTTAAAGATCCTCAGAAAGGGAGGACTCTTCCCCTCATGGGCTGCCATTTTACAGTCCTTACTATTCGGAATTTCCTCCTAATTGCTAGCCCAAATCTCTGGGTTTGTGACGTGATTCTAGTTTCTTTTACTAAGTGCCCAAAATTAATAAAACTAAGAGCTAACACTTGCTGAGAGGTTACTATATGCTAAATGCTATTCATAATCCATGTATTATATCAATAAAAACAGTGGCTAGAGCTAGGGCTCTAAGATGCTGAAGTTGTGGTCAAATCTCAATTCCATCATTTACCAGTTGTGTTGGCCAAGTTCCTTGACCAGATTATGCCTTAGTTTTTTGTATTTTTGTGAACTGAGCAAAGAAGAAGCTCCTTCCCCATAGGATTTTTGTAATGGTTAAAATAGTTAACATATGTAAGGTGTTTAGAACAGTGTTAGCTACCATTATTATCTCACTTAATTCTCATTATAGTCTATGACAGCTGTGGGCAAACTACGGCCTGCGGGCCAGATCCGGCCTGTTTGAAATGAATAAAACTAAAAAAAAAAAAGACCATACCCTTTTATGTAATGATGTTTACTTTGAATTTATATTAGTTCACACAAACACTCCATCCATACTTTTGTTCCGGCCCTCCGGTCCAGTTTAAGAACCCATTGTGGTCCTCAAGTCAAAAAGTTTGCCCACCCCTGGTCTATGAGATAGTTATTCTCATCAACATCCATGTTTTGCAAATAAGAAAGTAGTAACAAGGACAAGTTAAGTTACTCAAGGACATCCTATATAATAAAAAGGTAATATGCAAATTGACCATCACTCCAACACACAAGATGACGGCCCCATGTGGTCAAAGATGGCCAGCCCCATGTGCGCACAAGATGGCCACCACAAGATGGCTGGCAGGGCAGGGCAGTTGTGGGAGATCAGGCCAGCAGAGGAGAGCAGTTAGGGGTGACCAGGCCTGCAGGGGAGGGCAGTTGGAGGGGACCAGGCCTTCAGGGGAGGGCAGTTAGGGGCGACCAGGCTGGCAAGGGAGGGCAGTTAGGGGTGACTGGGCCAGCAAGGGAGGGAAGTTGGGGGTGACCAGGCCTGCAGGGGAGGACAGTTAGGGGTGACCATGCCAGCAGGGGAGGGCAGTGAGGGGCAATTGGGCTGGCAGCGGAGCAGTTAGGCGTCAATCAGACTGGCAGGGGAGTGGTTAGGGGGTGATCAGGCTGGCAGGCAGAAGCAGTTAGGGGCAATCAGGTAGGCAGGCAGGCAAGCAGTTGGGAGCCAGCAGTCGGACATCCCTCGAGGAGTCCCAGATTGGAGAGGGTGCAGGCTGAGCTGAGGGACACATCACACTTCCGTGCACAAATTTCATGCACCAGGCCTCTAGTAGAGCTTGTAAAGGAGGAACTTGGATTCTGAAACCCCAGAAAATGAGGACTCATGTCTACCCACTATCTCCCAGTTCTCCATGTGTCCTCCTTGTAGGGGGCATGGGGGGGGGGGGGTGGAGTTAGACCAGGGTGAGGAGGGAGCAATGTCACTTTAAAGAGTCTCAGCATCCAACTCTCATCTTTTCTCTGGGCTTAACTACCTAGAAAGATTTTTTTTTCCTCATAAGGAATGACTTAAATTCAACCTTGGTGTCTGAGATCCTCCTTTGGACTCCACCTCCCTCCCTCGGGACTCTCTCATGGAGCATGCACAGGGCACAGGTGGCTTTGGAGTCACACAATCCTGGGCCTGGCTCAGCTCCACCACTGACTGGCCACGCAATTTGGGCACACTATGTGTTCACTGTGTCTTCGTTTCCTCATCTGTGTAATTGAGATGATGATCCTCTGTCTTGACTTTGTGAAGAGTAATGTGCCCATTGCAAATTGGGATCAATAAATGAACCCTTTCTTCTTCCTATATGAGGAGCCCAAAGTGTCCTAAACTCTAAGCTAAAACCCCTTTCCAACCTACCACAGTAGATAAATGGTCATTTTACTGCTATCCCTTGATTGAGTAGCTCACCGTTTGAGCTAAAATCATCCACCAAGATGATCTCCTTTAACAATCGAGAGGGGGTCCGGTTGATGATGCTGGTGATGGCCCGTTGTATAATGGACAGAGCTTCGTTCGTGAATATGAGAATGACACTGAGGGATGGGAGTTGTGAAGAATATGTCTTCTGAAGACACCTATAAGAGACCATTTTTAATAACCAGTTTACTTTTTAAAATTACTTAACCATTACTACCCAATCTATATCACTTCACTACATATAATGTTATATTAATCAACTCACCCAAGCTCATTAGAAAAAAAAACTCTCTCTTGCTTATCACAGTAGCCAGAAGATTTCATATTTGTTTTTCCCAAATTATCCTGTTCTGAGGATAAAATCCATTTATTTTTTTTATTACTCTTCAGGAGACATTTCCACTTGAACATTCAACATGCCCCCAAAGAAATTCCTATTTTTCCTCCATCTCCAAATTAGCTTACTTGCCAGAGGACTTCTTTCTAACATTGTCACCACCCTTTCCCTATGTTTTCAGACTTCCAGTCATTTTTTACACAACCCAATACGTCACCACTATAGAGACATAGCAAACTGTTCAAAGACTTGTGCTTGACACATTTTTTAAATGTCATAGTTTAAATTTATTAAATTCTTACCATATGCTAGGCACTGGCTTACTCTTCTCTTAACATTTTTATTGAGATACATATTACATGCAATAAAATTCACCCATTTAAAAGTGTACAATTCAATGTTTTTTATAATATTCATTTTAGAATATTTTTGTCACACTATAAAGAAACTCCATACCCTAGCCTGTTTGGCTCAGTGGAGAGAGCATCAGCCTAAGGACAAAAGGGTCCCAGGTTCAATTCTGGTCAAGGGCACATACATTGGTTGCAGGCTCTTCCCTGGCTCAGGCCCTGGTTGGGGCTCTTGCAGGAGGCAACCAATCGATATGTTTCTTTCACATTGATGTTTCTCTCTATCTTTTCTTCTCTCTTCCACTCTCTCTAAAAATTAATGAAAAAGTATCCTTGGATGAGGATTAACAAAACAAAACAAAAAAGAAACTCCATACCCATTACCAGTCATTCTCTATTTCTCCCCCAAACCATCCCACTCCCACCTACCTCAGTCATAGGCAACCACTGATTAGTGGATTTATTTTCTATTTCTGTAGAATTGCCCATTCTGGACTTTTCATATAAATGGAAATCTATATCGTAAAAGGCCTGTGGTCATGACGCCATAACAGTGGAACGACTAAACAATCGGTCACCAGGAGGTGCATGGAGCACCTCTCATGGGCCGGGACTCCTGGCTTGCGCAGTGAGGTGGGGCTCACACAGTGCCGGTGGGGCTGGCACAGCAGAGGAGGGGCCTGTGGCTCACACAGGGCAGGTCTGGGGGCCCATGGTTTGCACAGGGCAGGTCTAGGGTCCCGCAGCTCAAGCAGGGCGGGTCTGGGGTCCCACCAGCACAGCAGGTCTGGATCTCGCGTGTTTCGCGCGCTGGGCCTCTAGTATACAATATGTGGTCTTTTGTGATTGGCTCCTTTTACTTGGCATAATATTTTCAAGGTTCATCAATTTTACAGCACATATCAGTACCTCATTTCTTTTTATTGGCAAATAATATTCCATTGCATGGATATACCATATGTATCCATTCATCAGTTATTGGAAATTTACGATGTTTCCTCTTTTTGAGGATTAATACCACTGTGAACAACTTTTTGTGTTGGCATGTTTTTATTTCACTTACATACACACCTGAGAGTGCAGCTGTAAATCATATGATAACTCTTTGTTTAACATGTGGACGCTAAGAAGAAAGATTCATTTGATGTGAATCCAAGAAGAAATTTACCTGCTAAAAAGGACTGCCTCTGGTCAACTGAGGGCCAAAATTTTGTAACTAATAAGAGCCTAGTGGCCATTTACTGGTAGGGGCTTGTTACATACTCTGTACAACTAGGAAGAACCTCTGACTGAACTCTGGGCTTTTGCACTATGCCCTGCTTGTTTACATCATTTGAGTCAACAACTGCAGGGAAGGAAACTCTGGCTTCATCTATCCACCAACAGACAGATTGGCCCAATCAGAACTGCACAATTTGGATACCTCATTTACATACAATGTACCTCATTAAGAACCCCGGGGGTGGGGGGAACTTTTGCTATAAAAGATGCTTCCCCTTCATCTTGGTGGAACACAATTTAGGTTGTTACCTAAATGTGCTGGGCTGCTGCTCCTTTTTGCTCAAATAAATGCCTTCTATTCTTTGTTAAAGTTTAAAATTAATTTTGGTTTACAATTTGATGAGCTTCCCTCCTGTTTTCCAAAGTGGCTGCACCATTTTACATTACTATCAGTAATAAATGAGGGTTCAAATTTCTCCACCTCTTGAACAACATTTGTCATTTTCCGTTATTTTGATGGTGGCCATCTGAAAGGTTGTGAAGTATTAGCTCACTGTGGTTTTTATTTCCATTTTCCTTATAACTAATGATGTTGAGAATCTTTTTATTGTTTCTTGGTCATTTGTTTTTTGGATCAATGTATAAGTCCTTTGTTTATTTCAAATTTGGTTATTTGTCTTTTTGTTATTGAGTTATAGAAGTTATTTTTGTATTCTAGGTTCAAGTACCTTACTGGATATATGGTTTGCAAATATTTCTCCCACTTTGTGAGTTGTTTTTTTCACTTACTTGATTATATTATTTGCAGCAAAAAAAAAAATTTCAGTTCTTATGAAGTTCAAGTTTTCAATCTTTTTTTATCATTTATGCTATCTGACCCATGATCAGATTTTCTCCCAAGAGTTTTATAATTTTATCTCTTACATTTACATGTATGATCACTTTGAGTTAATATTTATAATATGTATGCATGATGTAAGAGTCCAAATTCATCATTTTAGTGTATAAATCCCCAGTTGTCCCAACAATGTTTGTTGAAGAAACTATTAATTCCCCAATGAATTGTCTTGATACATGCAAAGAAGAAAAACTCTCCTGTTTGTTTCTTTCCTCCACTCATAGCACTACTGACAATGAAAATTTCGGTGACCAGGTGTGTGTGTCGGGAGGGGGGTAGGGGGAGGGTTCCCATATCAAAGAACTCTGCAACATCAGCCCGGTGTCCTACAATGTAATCCAATTCTGACACTGTCTGCCTGAAGTTACCATCAGATCCCATAGGTTAAGGGTTCAGGCCCACAAAACTACACCCTACCCACCCTCCCCCATTACAGAGGCCAATCACAAGTCCAGGTTGTTCCTTATGCTTTTGACTACGGGTTATAAATTCCCATGACCCCTTGCTTGGGTTAGATTAATTTGCTAGAGGGGTTTGCAGAATTCAGGAAACCAGTCCACTTACTAGATTACCCATGTATTGCAAAGGATATTAAAATATATGAATGAACAGCCAGATAGATACCAAGAGCAGGGTCCTGAAAGGTCCTGAGCACAGGAGACCTGCCGCAGTGTGGCCTGGGGTGCCGCACACTGCCGGCGCCTGTAGTGTTCTTGTTTACCAATCCACTCTCTGAGGCCCATGGCTCATGGATTGTTATGGCGGCTTCATCACGTAGGCATGACGGATTAAATCACTGGCCATTAGTGACCAAGTCGATCTCCTGGCCCCTCTCCCCTCCCAAAAGGGGGAAGAACTGAATGTCCCAATCCTCTAATCACAGGGCTGCTTACCCTGACAAGCCCATATCTTTTATGCATAACAAAAGACAGCTTTATTTCTCTTCTTACTTAAAAAGTCCCAAGGATTTTAGAAACTCTGTGCCAGGAACATGGATAAAGACCAAATATGTATTTCTTATCATAAATTACAAAATCACAGCACCCTATTCAAGAGTCAATTAACCATAAATGTAAGTTTATTTCTGGATACCAATCCATTCCACTGATCTATATGTCTATCTTGAACCGGTAACACCTGGTCTTATTTACTGTAGCTTTGTAGTAAGTTTTGAACTTGGGAAAATATGAGTCCTGTAATATTTTTTCTTCTTTTTCAAGATGTTTTGGCTACTTGGGATTGCTTGCGTTTTCCTTTGGATTTTGAGATCAGCTTGTCCATTTTTACCCAAAATCCAGCTGATATTTTGATAGAGATTGTAGATCAACCTCGAGACTACAGTAGCTCCCTGTTACCTACCAGGGAAACTGTCCCAGACCCCCAGCAGATGCCTGAAACCACAGATAGTACCAAACTCTATATATACTATGTTATTTCTGTACATATGTTTAAAAAATTTCAACTGAGCAAATTTGAAGATCTTATTGGCTTTTACTTAAGAAATTCAATGAATTGGGCAGCATCCCATCCAGCAACAAAAGGATACTCCAAGGTTTGTACAAAATGAAAGGTTTTTATAAGAAGAAGGGTGAGGCAAGGGAAAAGAGAAAGAAAAAAGAAAAAGATGACTTTTGGTCCAGCTGTAAATCATATGATAACTCTTCTGAAGACACCTATAAGGGGAGGGCAGTTGGGGGTGACCAGGCCTGCAGGTCACCTTTTCTTTGGAGGGAGAGAACAGAAGGGTTTGTATCATGCAGATTTTGTTTTCTTTCTAAGGGGGATAGAGAGGGCCCACAGTGACAGAATACCAGAAAATTCAAGACTGGTTGATTAAGATTACATTTCTGGGAGAGGTTGAAATGACATTTAGATCAGGTATTAAATCTAGATTTGGGCCCTGACCGGTTTGGCTCAGCAGATAGAGCGTCGGCCTGCGGACTCAAGGGTCCCAGGTTCGATTCCGGTCAAGGGCATGTACCTTGGTTGCGGGCACATCTCCAGTGGGGAGTGTGCAGGAGGCAGCTGATCGATGTTTCTCACTCATCGATGTTTCTAACTCTCTATCCCTCTCCCTTCCTCTCTGTGAAAAATCAATAAAATATGTTTTTTTAAAAAAATCTAGATTTGGTATTGAGAACAAAAAAAAGAAAGTTCTATGAAAAATAACTTCAAAAGGTGAGCTGATCATAAATTTTTAACTGGGCCGGTCATTGTAAGTAATCAGGTTTACCTTTGCCTTAGCAAACTCTGTCCATTGTTTCTGTGCATGTAGTTAACACACGTTTGAAATAAACCATAAGCACCTTCAAGAGAGCACATAATCTTGCCCAGCCAGTGTGATTCAGTGGT